ATATTAGAAGATAGAAGTTAAAGTATATAAGCCTTGACTTTTAACTCCTAGTCTTATTATAGTAGTCAAGGTGCTTATATAAATCACCTTGCATTTCAAGATGGATTGTAAAGATTACTGTGCTGACGTTTAGTGGTGTGGTATTTCCCTTGACACAATTCCAATACTAGTAATTGGTAAAACGGTAAAAATAGTAATGGTGATGAAGAAATTGTAGCGAATTAGCCGCCGAGAAGACTAACAGCGAACGAAACGTAAGACGACAACAACTATTTAAAGTGTAGATAAAATAAGATATGGAACTCCAAATGGGTAATAGACTTCTTTATATGCGGAATATAAATGGTATATCAACTATATTGAGCCACTATTCATATGTAGACATATGTGCTTAGCTGTACTAGTAGTACTGAAAGTTATGTGGCATCCAAGTAAGGACTATTTAAACCAATTAGTTAGGGAATTGGTAGTGGGGTATTCACTTGGAGGAATGATGCTGGAAAAGTGAATCGTTTGGAGCGGTGGCTGGTATATAAGAATCAGCGTCAGTAGAATTGCAATGGACTTTTTACGCCTATTATTCTCAGTTGGGTGGATAATGCAGATGGACAGATGAATATGGGAACTTCAGTGTGATTGTCCGGATCTAAAAGATGTAAGTAATGATGGTGAACTTGTATCAAGAATCTTATTTTTACATACATACTCAATCCTATAATTAAGCCATGGATATCATCACCGACCTCATGATGATAAAACTATTTCTCAAAACAATGACAGCAGAAAACGGCAATTTCTCTCATCATGACCAACCATAATCACATCAGAATTGTTCCCTCATTCCCCCCTCATTCCCCCTTCTAACATCATCCCTCGTCCTTCATGTTTCCGCACACACACTCTTCATCGAATACTCATCTAATCCAAGATCCGATACCCTTAGAGCGTCAAATGATTCCAAAAACACAACACAATGCCCGATTCATACCGATATTTTTGTATATCAAAGCACACCTCCATTTCAATCACTATCCCTATTGTCCGGACTTCCGATCACCAAACTCATTCTCATACAGTATCTCAAGAGTTTCAACCGAAAGCTTGGAAGAAACGCGAGTATAGTACTCGTACAAAGTGATAAACAATGATATACAATAGCCTTAGACAACTATCAAAAGGTGAACTCTAAGGCCACTGCCAGATTCAACCCGGCACTTGTAAAGAATGTACCGGCATTTCAAAACCATAATTCTAAAAATGAAGATGTGAATCCTCAAATCGAACTCTTGATCTAATCCCAACTCAACTACCGGTATGGTACCTACCAGACTCCTACTTACGAATTCCGAGTTCGTACTGTAGTACGAAGAGAGGAGAAAATTGAGGTCTCTAATACCGGTATGAACCGCAGTCCCATCCAGGAGATCACAAGCTTGTAAGAAATAGGTATACCTTACGAGATATCTCTTGGTTCTCATTCCACCTACCGACCCAGTAAATTACGGAGTAAGGAAAGATGTAAGAATCCGGAGAAAAATCCATAATTTATTGCATTACCTATCGTACCATTTTTAAATAACCCGAGCGTTTGTAGGAATTATGGATATTGAAATTGTCTATTTTGAGTCATGAATCGAGATGTTTATATATAAACAAGTAACATCATTCAGTATATAATTAAAGTACAAACACTCTCTGATAGAGAATAAAAAAGAATAAATCTCGAAATCATATACCGGTATAGTAGTAAAAATAAATTGTGCGAAATTAATCGGATCATTATTTGGAGAGATATTAATATTGATATTCGGCTCGGGTTAACACAGCGTACCTAGTACCTACAATACCGGTAATCATGTGAAGGCCCTAAGGGATGAAAAGACTAAGCTAGAGTCGAGTCTCGGTTATACCATTGATTATATCTTTCTATTTATTTGGGATTTAATTATTCACTGTGATATGCTGATACTCATTCATACTCATACTTGTACTTGGAAATCCATTACCTAAATAATCTCAAAATCCCAAATTCCCTCTTTTGCCTCCTGTGATAAAATCCCTTCATTTCTTCAAACCGCCTTGCTTGGTTTTTGGTGGGAATGAAATTTATAAATGGATTGTGAGTGGCCAATGTCAATTCTAATGCTAATGTCAATGTTCCCAGTTAGTTATACGGAAAATCGTCGAAATGGGGTCTTGGTATCCGTGCCGGTGGGTGCTGGGGAGGGAAGGGAGGGGAAGTGGATTTTGGTAGGGACTCGGAGGGGAGGGGAGGGGAGTGGAGTGGAGTGGGTTTTGATGGGATTGGATTAGAATGGGGGCTGTCTCACCCGTGTGTTGAACATTGGCATTTGACATTTTGCTTGCTTGAAGTTCCGGGGTGTTTTTTCCCCTGGGATTTTACTGAAGAAAGGTAAACCACCTATCAAAATCACTCCCCTGTTCACTACAACCATGCATAACGGCATAACCCATCCCATCCAAAACCCCTGATAAATCCTTGATGGAACGAGCGCTGATTTGGTCAACTTACGAACCCCCCACTTTAACCCGAGGGAGAAGGGGTCATATAGAAATGTCAAGCTACCAAATAACAATTAATAGATTTTGTATCAGATGAATCATACATAGATCATGGATTGAATTGAATGATATGATTCGTGATTATCAAAAATTCGATTACCGATTAACACTGTAATCAATTCCATCCCATCCATAGAATCTAAATCATCCTTTCAATCCCCCCCCCCCATCTCCTTCAATTCATATTCAGCCTAAATACTTACTCATTCATTGTATTACACCCAACCAGCCTAAGTACATACAGTACCGCAGTACTTCCATCCATACTGTACATCAAGAACATGCCATACTATGCCATGTTTCCATCCGAACATCGGAACCAGTCATCTTCATCCACAACTTACATTGCAGCGATGCGTTCAACGGTATCACAATGCAATCTTCACATTTACATACTGCTTGTACATGAATTTAGCATATTCTTTATGGGCCTAGAACAAAACATAGTATGATATGTGCGTCCGGATCATAAAAATAGGGTATCAATCGTGAGTCTGTTGGTTTCAATATGTTTTATTACTCTTGATATATCTATCTACTTACTGAAAAGAACTTCTGCACCATTAATTATACAATGAGTACCAAAAGAGTTTCTATCTTTTGTCTATATATATATGGAATCTGTATCTACTCCATTAAGTATTGATTTTCGGGAATCGAAACCCCTCTAGGTTAGATATTCCTCTTACGGAAAACCGATAAACCCAGACTTCAAATCTACAAATGGTAACAAGTACCCTGGTATTTTATTCATAAAGAAAAATGATGAGAATATCAAAAACGTACATTCAATTATAATTACTAAACTATCTTTTGCGATGTTTCAAAAATGAAGTTACTATACTCCTTCAATCATTCTTCAAGTCATTAGTAATTATATTCTCTCTCTCGTCAACTCTCTAAAATCAACCCTTCATCCTTCTAAAATAGACGAATTAATCACAAGTATATTATCAGCTCTTTACAAACTCTCCTCCTTGTTTCGATATATGTCAATATAAGTTCTTATACCGATACTCGAGTATACAATAGAAAGTTCAATTCATTCAATTCAATTTGAAGTTCAGGTTGTCTTTTGATCATATGGCGGGCGTATGGCGTCTTTTTAAAACAATTTGTGTGACTTTTTCTCATGAGCCAAGAAAATTCATATTGAATAGATGGAGTTCGAGACCAAAATCGAGAATACGAGTACTCACACCCATATCACTTTGAGTTGATTATAAGAAATACTCGTACAAGGAAACAGTCCATGAATTTTTGTAGTATAGGCATATCAGCAAAAGATTGGAGAGATTGATTCTATCTATATATACAAGTCATTGTCACAGTTACAGTCATAGTCACAATCACAATCACAATCATAGTTAATCACATTTATATTCATTTTCACAAAGTCAACCTCATATTATTACTTAATAGTCAGGTCTAGCTTTTCAAATATATTATATATAGTACTCAAACTTTACCTCACTCACCTCACCTCATCATCGCATTCGCATTCATTTTTGTACCTGATTATACCACAGAATCTATACAAAATTCAATAACTCCATAAACAATAAATAAAAACATACTAAGAATTAAAACTTGATCTATTTAAAGCCCCCACATTATTTCATTACTTTTTTGGGATTTTGTCCCGTCTACCTGGCACGCTGCATCGCTGGCTCGCTAATTTCCAATCATTCATCCCACCTCATCCCATCCATCCCATTTCCTTCTTCTTCAACCAACATATTATATTGTCTGAGCGTATCCCAAGCTTTTCTAATGGTTCCACAAACTTTCCAATATCCAAACTCATGGGATTTATTAGTTTAACTCTACTCGAAGTATATCTTTCTATCTATTCTATCTATTCCATAAAGAGTTCTTGGATAAAAACATTCCATTCATTACTATTTTCTTACTTACTACCTTAGGATTCATCTTATTACAATCCATCTTTGTCATACATATTACATTCAAGACAATTATTACCACTTACCTTTACTTGATACAACCATATCAAATCCTACAAAAGAGTTTTGGGAAGACACAACATATAATTATCGCGATTTTTGCCCTGTATACCGGTACATTGGTTCCGAGCGCACGAGGTGGACGATCGATTGAAGTTTAATCGAAGTGAAACTATACAAAAGAGGAATTCTATAAGGAGATTAATACGCCACTGAGAAAATTTGTGTGAAGGAGACCATAACTTTTTAAAGGAAGTATTCAATTGATTTGAAGGTTTCGAGTTTCGAGTTTCGGAATTCGGGTTTCTATATCGATATATTCAAAATTCTTCGGTCACTACTCCCTCGGTCACTACGAGTACTCACTCGAGTACTCGAGTACAAAATAAATCAAAAACAAATACAAACGAATCTCATTTACAAACATATTCTAAAATCCTCGGAACCGCAATAATGAGTTCTTTAACTCATGGAACCTCGGCAATACCGATCGATGATAAAAAGAAAGGATTAAGTCGAGTTTTTGGAAGGATGAAGACTGTTTTGAGGAGAAGTGATGGATCAAGGAGATTAACTTTTGCTGGTAAGGCTTCAACTACAAGGTGAGAATGTAGAGCTTTTAAGTTTTTGTCGCATTTGTTAATAGTTTAAATATTAGTGTCCCTAAGATCACAGCACCAAGACCGCCAACACCAACGCCAACACCAACGCCAACACCAGCGTCAAAACCAACGTCAAAACCAAAGGAAACACCCGTTCCAACCGGCGCTATCAAACCCAAACAAACCCAAACATCTATTTCCCCTCAACCCATCCAAGTCTCCCGAGCCGAAATCAATGCCGAACGAGCTCGAAAATTAGGTGAACGTTTTCAATTACAAATCGAAGCTCACGAATGGCAAACACTTGATGGGGAAAAAGATGCATGGAGAGTTGAAAAACCCATTCGTGTGAGAATTCATCGCACTTGTCATAAATGTAATATGACATTTGGAGCCCTTAAAATATGTGCCAATTGCGAACATCCAAGATGTACAAAATGTCCTCGGTATCCATTGAAGAAAAAGGAAAAGGGAAAGACGGCGGTAGCGATTATGGGTCCGATTCCGGTTGTGGTTGAAAGGGAGGGGAAAGAAATTGGGAAGTTGAGACTTACTTTACCGAGTCATAAAATTGGTGGTCAACCTTTGGTTAAGAAGAAGCCGATGCAAAGAGTTAGAAGAACTTGTCATGAATGTTCTTCTTTGTATTTGATTGGGAGTAAAATTTGCGCAACTTGTTCTCATACTCGTTGTGCTGATTGTCCACGAAATCCGTATGTTTTTTCGTCACTTGTATTCCAAATCTATAAACTAACCCCCTTCAAATAGATCCAAGAAAAAGAAGTACCCAGACGGATATCCAGGCGATCAACCTTCCTCCATCACCCTCAAATTCGCATGTCATGTATGCGATAAAACATATCCGATTCTCGATCCTGAAATTCCTTCATCCAGTATTCAAGAATGTCGTTGTTGTAAACATGTCAAATGTGATATGTGTAAAATAGCTCTTCCTCGAAAAGTTATACCAGAACCGGATCCCGAAGTATTGGAAAGGGTTGAAGAGAGATTGAGGGGTTTGTCGATTAGACATCGGACTATGGTTCGTTGATGGGGGTGATTGGGGCGTGTTATTGAGATGTGGTGGAGGAAGTGATGAGAAGATGGGAAAGAGGAATGGAGGGGAAAAAAGAGATGGGGATTGATTGAGTTTTGATATTTGGCATTTCTTTGCATAGGGAGAGAAGATTTAAGTGGAATTTTTTGAGTTTGATGGATGGGGAATTCTTTTCGATGGCATAGTGAAGCAAAGATTTATGGTACCGGTATGATTGAGTTGATGGATTAGCGAGCGAGCGTAGGTATGCAAGCAGGCAGTTGGATTTTTCTTTTGGTTTGTGGGTTTATGGATTTAGTTGGTTCATTGATACCTTTTTGGATTTGGGGATTGTTTTGTTGTGTGGGGGAGGAGGGGGAGGGGGGGATGGTGTGGTGTGGGTGGGTGAAGTTTGTGTTTGGGATTGGGGTGGTGGTTTTAGTGAGGGGAGGGAAAGAGATGAGAGAGTGGGGATGGGGATGGTGATGAAGGGAGGTGAGAATAAGAGAGGGGGAATCATAGGGAAAGGAAACAAAAGAGAGGATGAGAAAATAAGAGGATAAGAGAGAGATATCAAAATGCATACGATAAACATGGTGAGACTTTGGTGGGTGATGTGATGTGATGGATGGATGGATGGATGGATACTAGTAGGATAAATAGGAGTACATGAATCTATTTACCTCTCATCTCATTGATGACTTACAATTTACTTTGCTTTGCTTTCCTTTATCTTTATTTTTGTTTTTTTGTTTTTATTTCTACAAATATTTCTGTTTCTATTTCTGCTTCTGGTAGGTGTAGTCATCGAACCGAATCCTTGGATATCCTATTTCTTTTTTTTCCTTCTGTGATTTGGTGTTGGGTGTCTGAGTGTAATTTGTCTAAGTGGATGGATGGAGATCATGAGCTATGAAATCATAGACTCAATCAACCAATGACTGCGTGAGTAATTAGATGGCTAAGTAGCTCTTTATATTTAGAAATTAGAGGGTTGGAGATTCAACATGATGTAAATTCTCGGTATAGAGGAGACTTTATTGAGGCATGGCCCGGGGCTGTATGGTGGAAATACACGACGGCACAATGGCACAACGGCACAAGATTTGATAAGGGGTTTCTGGTATAGTATAGGTTAGGATTGGGATGGGAGTATTTGTGAGGGGTATTGGGGTTGAGATGGGATTTTGATGCGGAAGGGGGCGTGAGGGGATAGAAGGAATATATGATTTGTTGAGAACCTAGGGGTAATACTAAGTGAGACAATTAATCATTTATATATTGTTTATTTATTGTTTAATAATTATATTGTTGTTGATGGAAAAGTATTACAACTCGGATGGCATTCGCAAACTTCAGCGAATACTCTAGCTTTATAAATACTTTTCTCTAAATTACTACTATTATTTCTATCTTATTATTGTTTTCATTCAAGTTCTCTTCTTTCTCATTATAATCATTTTAAATTATTATATTAGATCTAACGAAAAATCCTTTATTTTAATAATCAGAAAACAATTAGATAATTAAATATTTATAATGTTTATTTTATTTGATAGACGAAGGATTGAATATTATATAGTAATACTAGTAATAATAAGTATATTATAAAACGCTAAAAATATTCTTTTCTCTAATCTCAATCTCAATCTCAATCTATAATCACAAATGAGCTATTTCAATTTCTTTTTTAACGTTTGATTTTCGCATTACACATGATTAATATCGATTATAGGAACTTTATTAGCAGTTTAACGAATCTTGCTTCTAGTTGATCTCCTTTAATACATCGCATTCATTAACCGTTAAACAAGAACAACTCGATGTATATAGAGTTAAATCGCGAATAAATCTAATCTATCGCTCTCGGAATTACTTACTGTAGTGAAGTAGGTGAGATGGAATAATTACTAATAAGATCAAACTTTATATCTACAATACTTGAGAATCTAGATCCTGTTATATAAATGACCTAGATGATATCTTCAATAACTTGAAATAATAACTTAAGACTAAAACTAGATAATCTCTTCCGGTAATAGACTGCCCAAGGAAATTTACTATAGAGCAGAGAGTTAAACAATTAACATTTAAGAAGAGAAGTTTTCTTTTTGGTTTTCTTTGTTGTCGTTTGTTTTATCTTCGAAATTTAATGTTTTTGTTATTAGCTATTATATTACTTATCGATGCTCGCTTGGTTATAAGTCTTGTATTCAAGCCAGTCGTAGCTAGATAGGCCGGAGTTGCACTGGAAGATAATGATTGTGAAACCATTCCGTGTAATGAAAGAAATTTTAGTTCTACTAATTATACTCTATTATATAAGGAATTATAATGTATAAATACCTAAATATCTCACGAAGTCTTATTTGGGGGATCTACCGGGCAGATAATGGAGACAAATCGATGAACCGTGATCGAAGTTGCTAGAAATAGTGAAATTTAATAGCAAATATATTAACTAGTTTATATTCTATAGGGTTTTAAAAGATATATATATAGATTAATATAGCTATTACTAGTATAATCTCTTTTATTATTATATATATTATTTAATTAGATTGAATAAGAGAAGTTGAATATTTATTTAAGTTTTTATTTAATATACTCGCCGGCGGAGTCTTTAAAGAATCGGAGATATATATAAATCTAAATAAATATTACTAATTTATAATCTTTTATTAATTAATTATATTTAAATTGAAAAGGAAATATTCGCTATATTTCAATTAGATTGAAATTAATAATTATAGATTATAACAAAAGATAGATTATTTAGAATTCTCTATAAAGAACTAAGCTAGTAATAGTGATTTTGATTTCGTCTATATATTATTAATTATTTCGCCCAATAAGTTTCTTATCAAAAAAAGAGACGTAGATCTTCAAACAAGTTATATCTAGTACTATATAAGAGATTCTCTTAAAGAAGATATAATTTCACAATAAAAGAGAGTATTAATGGAAGTTTTGAGAGAGTCGAATATATAGAAGAACATTGGCGATCTATAGCATCTAGACTAGGAGTTTGGATTTCTTTGCAGGTATAATTAGGAATGAGAATATTGATACTGGGAGGAAGGAGTGAGGGGGGATGCTTTGATCTGTTGGGTATGTGTTTATTTGAGTTGGGGAGGTGATTTTTGCTTTTTTTTCGGAGCGAGGAGTGTATGTGAAGGTGATGATAAAAGGAGGAAAATAATGGTAATGGTAATGATAATAGAAATTGAAATGGATACAGCAGCAGGAAGCGAGTTTTCAACCGTGCAGTCGAGGGCGAAAATTCCGTTCGTCATATTGATCCAATATATAGATTCGATGAAGTTTCTGGACATTTTTAATTCAACGTTAGAAGATTTGGTGCTACCATTCGGTCAAACATGTGAGAGATCTAGACACTCTGTTGAAGTTTTGGTTGAAGATCCAGTGACTTTCTCTGAAGCACATTAAATACCCATTTGATTATTGGATTAGCTGTACAATATAGATCTCAAAGGTTTTGTTGCATATCTAAGATTAAGTTCAGGTTTATGGACTTACAGGTATAGCAGTAGAGAATTCTATTATTTCTTTTGTTTCATTGTTTAGTAGTATACCATCTAGACTATTCTATTTCTCGCCTAAAAATTCAATGCCAAGAGGGCTAAAATCCTCCACTTTGTTACGGATTTGGTGACTTCACCCGAGAAAATGTTGTATAGACATCTGATTGGCGAGTTGCCGCTCAACAGACAAAGAGCTGAATGCTAGGAAAGATTTGTTGCACGTCTGAAGTTGGGCGCGAATTCTTGAACTTACAAGTCCAGTGACTTGTCTCAAAAGTCAATCATGATTGGTGAACCACCGCCCTGAACAGAGAGCTAAGAGCTCTAAAAACTTTGGTTGCATGTCTGAAATCGGGCGCGAGTTCATTAACCTGCTATTGATGAGTCCATGTAGGTGAACCACGCTAGGGGCCCAAAGTTCTTTGTTGTCATATGCAGTCAGCTTGACAACAAAGTCTACTACATCTCGGTGGGAAACCAGCACTTGAATATCTCAAGTAAGATCGCCTCAGTAATTCTCTATCTATACGGAGTATGGAGATGCTTGCTTCTGTGTTCGCGCCGAGAGACAGTGTAAAGCTATCCCACTGTGTATTTTCCGATCTCCCCGCAGTTTTGACTTGGAAGTGTTAAAAGTTTGTTGCTGGGACGATAGGTTTCATGTTTCGTTTCCAATTTCTACCTCGAAAAGTTCATCATCGATTCATCTATGAAGTTTGTGTTAGATTGAACGTTGTTAATTTGGCTTCTCGTTCATCATTCGACATGTTTGACTGTCTGGATATCCACTTGGTGATGTCTGGGAATGTCTCCGAAAGAAACGGTGTCACTGATTGGTATATACTAACTCTAGCTTTCACTGACAATGATAGATATCTATCAAGTCATGCAAATGCAACTCGATCGAGTAGAAAAACTCAAAAAGAAGGTCATTCCTGATCACTTGGTCCGGCCAGAAGAACAATAATATCCCCCCTACCAATCTAATTACACAAACCGAGACACCTCTTGAGTCGTGCCAACAAACAGAAGGATCTAGATCGAATTTTTCCTATGTTAGCTAGCATCTACCGGTGATCAACTTTCACGTGTGAAAGTTTCCCCGTTCTTCATTCCTAATAAGTTGTGAGGGGTAGTAGTGGGGCAAACCTTATGTCTTCAACCCAAAGTGGGACTTTTGCATCACAACCCAGACGTACTCTCTCCCCTTTCGGCTCACATTACATCAAAGTGGGTCATCTTACCCACATTAAACATAACCGCATCGTATGTTTTAAGTCTCTGTAACTCACACTACCTTCACCAACACATGGAACATCTTTTACCAAGATATTGCCCCAAGAGTAAAGAAAGGATGTTGCGGCAAAATAAGATATGCAACAAACATCCAAAACGCCATCATGCAGTGAAACAATGTGGAACTATCAAATCCAAGTACCCCGCATCGGAGGTAACACCAGGGATAGTTCAAGTACGATAATTGTCTATGGTATACATATGATGAAAATATCACGGAGCAGTCCGGGATCGAGATATGCAACAAAGGGTTGGAAGGAGAGTGTATGAAGATGGAGAATGGCATAACAAGATATACCACGTTGCATTGGGAATTGTACTAAGATTGAGGGTGATGTGGTACGAATGATGTGGTTATCCCCGGAAAGTGAGACTCGATGTGCAACAAACGTGGAAAGAAAGTAGCGGTTGTGGAAGGTTATGCGTGGTTGCGTGGGAGAGGAGAGTTTAACGTATGATGATGCAGAGCTAGAAAAGGGAGGGGCAGCGTTTGAAGTAAAGTTTAGGAAGAGAAGACTTCAATGTGGGTATAGAGACATTCGAGACAGCATGTTAAAGCCGAATCTCGAACACCATGAATATGCACCTCCTACCAGACCCATCTAGCTGCACATGCACTCTCTCTCAAACTCCCTCCCTTCAACTCGCGTTCGCAGCCACACCTCCAATTCCTATTGGTAACGTCACGGAAATGCCCAAAATATACGACATGCAACAAATAGCCCAATGCGGAACCAGTATCACCAAAGATTAAACCATGGAATGATCCGCAGATTACGATGTGCAACAAAACCAAGTCCTTGGGAAGTACCCGCATGCATTTATGGTGGCATGACATGATGAGTGCAACGTGATGAGAGAGAGGCTCGTGATGTGGATTGATTATCGAGAAGTTATCTTGAATGTCACTGGTGTGAGCCTTGTCGGGCCGGTAGACGTGGTACAAGAATGTGTGTGCGAGGCTAGTGTGTAACGATAGGTGAGCCCGTTACCCGTGAAATATTTCCTCGGGAAGGAGGAATGTTTCTCGTGATCGGTATCTCCGAGTACAAGTAGACGGCACTTCCTCTAGTCGTTGGAGTCTCTCTTAATTGGTTAAACCTCGCACAACAACTGAGCAGTGATTTGCCAGAGTATATACGACCTCTGCTAAAATAGGCTCTTCCGATATCAATCAGCGAAGTAGATCTGCTTGTTTCTCTTCTTAGGAGACACAGTGCTGAAAACTTTCCCGAAATCAGTCTTACTACACTGGTTCGGGCACTGTTGACAATGAGCCTGCTCATATTCAAGCATAGTGGAAATATTTTTCCTGCTAAAAGAGACTTGGACTGAGCCGAACATGATGAATAGACCAGAGTATTCATCTAGAAGAATCGATACGATTATCTTTCCACAACTGCTGTCTTCTTGGAGTTGGTGGCTTGCAAATGTTCTGAATCACCCAGTCTCTAGTGAGATTCGGGCAATATTTGTTTGTCTTTGTTTTCCATTTCTTTTCTTTGCCTTTGATTTTTTGCCTTCACTTTTGTGGAAGCTGATGACCGATGATTGAGACTCGCACCTGCTAGACATACTATACCACTAGATGCAACGTAAGAGGTCTCCAAACTCTTTACTTTCAATTCCATCAAGGCGGTATGTAGACATGCAGCTTCAGTCAAAAGGACAGAATAAATCCTTAGTTATGTAAATCTCTAAACATCAAATTGGCGGCGCTACATTTCAGCAGCGGTACTGACATATCTACCTTCTCGGCTGCTTGCACAAATTTCAGTCCCATGGCCCTCAGTAGAGTGTTCATCTGAGCTTTCAAAAGAAACAGCTACTATGAGGAACCGCATGAAAGTGATACTGTCATAGCTCCCACTTGGAAAAGAGAATATATCACTATCGTCTATAACTATCATTTCAGACATACTGCGATATTGAGAAGCGAAAGTCGTGTGTCATTGTTATGTTTGTATGATATCTCGCTCTCCTCTGTCTCCATATGTTTGATCATGTGTTTTGGAGTGAGAAGTGGATCTGAAGATTTTCTTGATATGTTCTACCAATACTAAAAGTAAAAAAAAAACTCCTTCAGTCGGGGGGCAGATGATCTCATGAGGAAAACGATTAATATATTCTTTATTGAAATACAATCTTTCTTAATAAGTTTATTGTTCAATAATTTTCCCAAACTCCCTCCAACTCACTTCGGCCCATCGTTAATCCGGCCTAGTTATCCTAAGCGAATTCGAAGCTTTGGAGAAAGGTGAATCTTGAATTCTAATCCATTCCCTTTTTACATGACAGCAATAACAATTATACAGATACTCTGATTCAATATATCATCGAGTGACGACCCAATCATTTATTTTGTTCTCTAACACTTCACCCCTCCCTCCTCTCTTTCACTCTCCTTTCCCACATAATTTCATTCAGACTCTTTACCTACCTAGTAGGTATCGATCGAAGAAATTGGGATCATCTAGAATTCTACCGATAGGCCTCTTAAGTGAGATCTGAGAGTTTTATTCTAAACCCTTTCCTATACCAACCGAACTACTTAATTGTAGTGACGAGGTATTGAAAAGTTTACACCCGCCGAAAACACTTGTTGAGTAAGCACTTTTTAAAAACACACACACACACACACAAGATGCCATCAAACGCATTTGATCAGATAATGAGCACTACTGGTATTGCCCCAAATGAAGTAGATACAGCCCGAGGTAAAAGGAAGGACGATGCATTTGAGCAATATGGAGCCACGGCTCTCGAGATTCAAACCATGAGACTTCAATTGGGCACGGTGACTCAAGGTTTGGAAACATCATTGATTACACAAAAATTTACTGCAGAGGGTGAGACCAAATTTGAGAGTCGAAAATCTCTTATCTCAAATGCAGAAACTATTGAAGTTAATTGTAAGAAGGCTATTGATTTACTTCAAAATGTTTTGGATGATAGAGATCACCCGTCAAAAGATATGGATGAAGAAAGCCGAAAACAAATAACAGCATTTCAATTGTTATCCCCAAAACTTGAGATGCTAGTGGAAAAGATGCTAGCAGATCATGATCATTTGATTGTTGAGATGACAGCCAGAAATGCTGCTCTACACAGAGAAGTGGGAGAACTCAGTGGGCAAGTCACTGCCTACACAGCTGGAGCTAATGTGGGTGACTTAAAAAAGTATCTCGAAAAATATATCAAAAGTTTGAAGCAAGATAATCAAACCGAAAGTCTCGTAAGTGCAAACCTTCGTACTGAAATCGCCAATTTGGAAGGAAGACTCAACATCGCGGACCGAAAGAAGGATGAAGCAGAAGGTAAGGAGAAGTTATTAAATCAACATCTAGAATCTTTGAGAGAAGATCATGTTGCTTCAAAGCGACAGTGGGAGCAACAAATCTCGACCATGATCTCCTCGGTCATCAAATCCTCTGAAGACTACAGTACTCTGGAGGGACGATATAGAGATCTGGAGCAACGAAACTTGACCATGATGTCTTCTGAGAAGCACAAAAGCTTAACGGAACGAGTATCAACCATGGTATCTTCTGAGGATTACAAAAGCTTGGAACAGAAACTCATATCAATTCGGGAGAACCCTGCAGGTGATGCGACCATAGCTGCTCATATTAAAGAAGCAACAAAGAATATGAAGAGTGTCGAGGAGTACAATAAGGTAATTGCGGATAATTCAAGACTCACTGAACAGGTAGCAGAAATGCATGCAAAATTGGAACCTCAATTTTCAGAATTGAGGGCTTCGAACAATCGTCAATCTATCTCGAGTCAACAATCCCCAAGTGGTCCATGGTCTCATCACACCCTTCGCCTGGACCACAAACTCCGATATTGGAAAATTTAGTACATCGATCCCAACAACGATTTACTCAACCAGGTACACCTTCACCACAACAAGGATATGGTTTATCAACTCTTTTCGGTGGAGATTCCCCACAATCAACTGGATCTCCATCGAGTTTTGGTGGATCTTTAATGCAACATGGAGGGTTTGAAACATCACCTTTCGGTACACCATCACCAATTCAACAGTATGGATATCAACTACCAAGATACAATGTACCACCCCCACGGCCATCTGAACACGGATTCTATGCGACTTCTCAACATACTTCCATGCAACCACCGACTTTCAATCAATCTTCCTATACGCAACATGGACACGGCTCGCCCCTCTACGAGCTCCCATGCAGCCACCGCCATCTAGACAATCATCCGCTTCACAATATGGATTCGCTACAGCTCCTCCTCCTCCTTCTCAGAGTCGACACACACCTGTTTTCAATCAACCATCCGGTTTTGGAAATTCTCAGTCTCCTCCAACGCAAAGTCCATTCGGAAAGTTTCGAGTAGCGCCACCACAGAGTCCAGTTGCCCCAAACGTTCTTCCTACCGCGACACCATATCAATTTTTGATTGGCGGGAATCTCTCTACAGGACCACGAACTTCGATCGTTCATCAAGGAATCATTCACAAAATGAATTCACAAATTTCTAGTTGGCCTGTAAAGTGGAATAAAGTGTCAAAAAAATTCACAGTAGAGGTTTTGATGTTAGGCAATACAGCCATAACACGACCAATGCCCCACCAAGTTCGGATGATGGAGACAAGTACGCATGTGATTTCTGTGTTAGGAATTCTAAGTTGTGTGTTTTGGTAGATCAGAATGGGCCAGTCGTTGCTCTTTTACCGCCAGCAAAGAGAATGCATTCGGCCACTCCTCAGACCGTTGGGTATTACATTGTGGTGGTCTAAGTACTTCATTTTGCTTTTTTTGTGAACTCTTTGGTGACTTTTTTGAAATTTTCAACTCTTTGATATGCATCATAGTGAGAAATGATCAATGAAACAAATAATAGACATAGTTGGAAAGAATAGGGTAATTGGATAGAAATGAGTAGTTGGACACAAATAATAGGGGGGTCGGCCCGGGGAAGTGAGGCACAAGGTAGAGTACATGAGAAGTAATACGGCTTTCCGGATGCATCAGTGTTAGGTTAGAGTAGCTTATTTGGCATATCAAGAAGATACCTCAAGTTCACCTTCGATTAAATCCTATATACTTTGGAATAGCACGTCTCTTTTAAGAGAAGAGTGACCAGATGAGGATAACGAAATTACCTTAGTAATTTTGGGTGGAATCCAATCCAAACAAATTATTCGCACATCTTACCTACTCGTCTTCACTTCTATACCTGGTCATTTATTCCGCTGCCACTTTCTGATAGCTCCTCACATTATCTAATTTGACGAACAGTCTTGTTTCAATGATTTTTTCTTCGAGATAGTTCGGTTAGAAGACGAGTTTATATAGGGTTGGTATTTGGTTTTGTATTCACTCCCTGGTAACCTCCTTCACAGCCACTTCCCTGGCAGTCTCTCACATTATCTAACCTGATGAACAGTCTTGATTGTTCTGATACCGAAACGATTGGGACTAAGAGGGGTGTTTATATAAGGGGGTGAATAAGGGGGTGGTGAATAAAAGTAGGTTATCTTTGAAGGGTTGTATGATACCAGTTGAGCTACTCCCATCCGCTCTCCGCTCTCCGCTCTCTAATTTATCAACCATCCATCTACGTTCCAATATAAAAATGCCAGCTTTGACTGATGGATCTCTTCACATAAAGTGTATTCAAACGCATTTGATCAGATAATGGGTCATCAAAGTACTCAATCAGTATAGATCATTAGCAAGCATATCTGCTCTTTAAGTTCTAGGTTAAGATGATTTCGAGGCACAAAAAGAAACTACCATTCGATCTTTCAGATATGATCACTACTTGGAGATAAATGACAGTAAAAGTATCTCTCTCATATTTTTATAAGTGATAGTGAAAATATTTCATCTCTCATCTCTCGGCCTTTTGTGTTCTACCTCTTACTTCCTTCCTCAAACCTCCCGGTCCCCCTCGCTCTCCTACTATAATGCTGGCAATCGAACATCAGTCTATGTTCTTAGACTGAATCTGCCCTGTGGATTATCGATGAATTGGTGAATTACGATAGGCTATAATTTATGGATTGTGGATATTAAAAAAGAGTCTACGAATACCTATTTAGTTTTTCAATAATTCACCATGCTGATAGGTAATCCACAGGTCACCTACCAGATCAACACCCAAACACAATATTCCGAAGAAAAATTTCTGATCGCCAGAAATTGAATTTCGGTCTGAAATTAACTCTACGAAGTCTTAACATTATCAATATTATACACTACTCCCTACAAGCCAATATAGCGCCCCTTACAACGCCGCTAAAGATCATCGACCTGGAAAACGCAGATTACACCAATCCGCAGGACTCAGAAACACCCTTGAATTTACGAAACCACTCTAAAAGAAGATAGTATGTTTTTATTAACAAGGTGTCACCAATCTTCAAACTGGGAAACAGAGCAAACAACAAATCAACCAACTCAGCGACGGAGACCTTCAAGGCCAAACTCGCTGAATACGAATATGTAGAGAGAATACAATGGAATGTTATGATTAGCTTGGTAGATACAATCGATAGATACATTGACTTCTTCGCTGCAGAAGACAAGCAAACAGTAGCCAGGAAACTGAGCAGCAGAGTCGTGGAAATCCTTATATTCATTATCGACGATGGGTCTAATCTATTATCGAGTCCAATATTTATACTATTAGTAACAAGAAGTGTAGCCTCCACAAAAACACAAATCACCAAAACCTACACAGAGATCCTCAAAACCTTCAAAACAAGTCAAAACAAGGTGGGTCGAATAGATCTATTTATACCTTAAGAAACTCTATCAAAGATTCTACTTAACAATGCACGATCCAAATATCGAATGATACGAAGCGCCCGGAGCACAGACCACAGGCTACTAATAGTAATCAGTCCTGCAGTTCGGATTAATCACCTAGCCCTGTTTATGCTAAGAAGCACTCTTGTTGGTGCAATCATAGGCTTATTATTGGCTGATATTCTTACTATATCTATCACCAAGATAGGATAAGCTATTATACCGAAAAACCTAGCAATATACAAACTACTCCTTATACAGGAAAATAAGGAGATCATTCTCAGAATCAGCAAAAGAATACAAATATATTAGTCGATAATATAATACAACTATACAGTCCCCGAAATCCTGGTATCGATCTGTATATTAGATAGATTCTCAATCGATATAGCGAATCACATAGAAACAGAAATACAAGTATAGATGGGCTAATCTCTAATCAACTATAAACCTTCCCGATATGGAGCTAATCTCTACAATAGCATAATTATATAGGTAATATCCTTTCTCAAACCAATATATGGTTTCAAGCTCTTTAACGTTAGCGAATTGATACAAGAAATCAAGGCGAAACCTATTATAACCTGATACAACACTGGCTACCAAGATTGATACAACTTAGCGAGATATACCAAACTCACTCGCTACACAAATTGTAGTATTCGAAAGGATACACATAAGGAACCACAGGGGCTTAACTGTGTAGCGAAAGCACAGTATATCAATTGCTTCAGACCCTTCGCAGCAGGACATCAGAACTGTTTAGTGGTATCCAAAGTGGTGGATAGTAGAGTCACAGCACTTATCAGACTACAACTCAAAGCTATACGAAAACCAGCATTAGCAATGGAAGTGGTAACGTTCGTTAACCAAAAAGCAAAGGATAACCCAAAAGAAAGGGCTATCCCAGCTACATCTGTAATCTAGTTCTATCCAGCACTAAAACGCCTGAGAGTATAAATTATCGAATACGAAAAAGAGACAATAACTGAATCCGCTTTGGCAACTAGACTCAAAAGAAACACAACAACAACAAACCGATTAAAATGGAAACCCTCAATGAACACAAACCTCAATGAGAAGACTTTTGCTGATAGTTAATAAGATATCGAAATAGAAGAGATCCCCTAATCTGATATATATGAATAGATACCTAATATATCAGGGTGATGTGTGTAGTCATCAAAAACCCAGAATATGGGACCTAACAGTCTGCTGGGCGAATATGGACAGAATACCAGAAGCCCACGATATCCTACTACAAATAGTATTTGAAGACAAATCAGATATCCTATATGTACAGGAACCTTTTATATTTCTAGTTACAAAAACCAAGATATACTTCAGATAGACCCTATATGCACTAGTCGACTTGTGAACAGGAATATCCCCTGAACAAAAAGAGGCAGAACGATCCCGAGTACTGATATATATCAGAAAAGGAGCAAATCTATGAACTCAACAAAAGCGGTTAACCAAAAGCTGCAATATACTCTGGATAGATATAAATGGATATCCTATACTGAATATATACTAGCAACCATGATTAAAACAGGTACTGTCATATATCACCGAACTATAATTATTTCCAGGGTGCTTTATCGGAGGCGATTTCAATACTATATACGAAATATAGCAACCCGGGTCGGAAAACCACTATGGAGGAAACGAACTAATAGCCTAGGCAGACCTAGCCGAATTGGACTACATTGGGAAGCGAGGAATACCTATTTATTCGAAAGGAAACATTCTTGATCTTACCTTCTCCAATATATTATTCACAGAAACCAGAATCCAACACAATCTATATAGTAGCTTGGACTACTCCACCCTAGTAACAACTATACCAGGCAGAGGACTCAAACCTCTTGATCAATACAATTTCTGCATCCCAGAAACGGAGCTGCCGAAACTAGCAGGTCTAGTAGTTAACGAAATAGTGCACCTGCCCTCAAGTAACTCTCTCGATACCCTACAAAGGATAGATAACTTCACTGATCAACTCATTCAAGTAATCAAGCAAGCAATCGAGGTAGCAGAAACCAAGGACAGAGGGAAGGATAAAGCAGCCTTCTAATAAATAATAAAATACAAGAAAATCTATACTAAACATTTATATAGATAAGCTTCACCAGGGAACTTTTTTATTATAGCAACCAAAGAGTTCAAAACGGTAGTTAGAATAATCAAACGCGACTACTGGAGATACATCATAGATGATATCTTCAGTGACAAGAATCTATACAAAATAGTTGGTTAGTATAAGCTGATCCCGAATCTCAAAAGTCCCCTAATCATATCAAACAGAGTAGTGATAAAGGACTCGATAGAAAAAGCCGAAACACTCAGGATAGAGGTCCTGGATCGGTTCAGTGCAAAAGATGACTTGAAATACAATCTATTGGAAGACCAATAGGAAGAAAGCAGTTATCTACCTTGAAACTTATATATCACAATAAAAGAAATCGAAACAAGTATTATTAGAGTATCCAGTATATCATTAGGGATTGATTAAGTCATGGTCAGATTCCTCAAAGCCTGCTAAAACCATTTCAAGGATTTATTAAGATAGCTCTTTCAACAGTATCTCGAATACAATCATTTCCCGAAAACCTGGAAATTAGCTGAAATAGCTATAATGCTCAAAACCGGCAAAAGAGATATGATGTCTACAAGGTCATAGAGATTTATCGCCCTACTCTCCTGTATAAGAAAGGGCCTGGAAAGAATAATTGCTAAGCAGATAAACTAGATAGTCTTAAAGCATAGCATTATTAGTCCTTAGCACAGCAGAGCCCTACCCAAATACTTCGCAATAGACTTGGTGGCATTCATTATACACAATGTTGAAATAGCATTGTTAGCAGGGAAGGAAATAACCATGGTTACTATGGATATACAAGGGACCTTCGATACACTGCTCAAAAGACGACTCCTAATTAGAATAACAGAACAAAGTTGGCCTAAAAACCTACTTCTTCTA